CCTTATTTTGAAAATCAGGCTTAGCTGGAAACTGTTACCCATGTATCACAGATACTGCTTTGGATGCAAGGAAAAATAGAAGGGAAGACAGTGCAGAGACAGAAGGCATTCTGATTGACTGAGCAGTGTTCCCCTCAACTCCAATATCATTCTTCAGCTGTTTCTCTATCTGAACAATATTGGCTTTATTATGCTGCATAATTTTTTTCTCCCCCCCACCTCCCCACCCCTTTGGTCCTCCCTAATCACTCTTCTGTATCTCTCTCTCTTCATGCATTCTCATTATTTCTCTCTGCTTATTTTTTTCCCCTTTTTATTTTCACCTTTTTCCAGATCCAGCTTCCTCCTCTAAACAGTATCTAAGTAGGCTTCTCTGTCTAAGTACGGTATACTGGATTTGCTGGCAATAGCTTGACAAGGTTCCAGCATATATGAATAGGAAAGCCAAAAAGATATGATGCAAGAGAAGAGTGAAAAAAACCTTTACTACATCTTCCAAGTCAGCCTTTTAAAAGTGGCAGCTTAGAGGCTGGATGGATATGGCACATAACACACCCCAAATGGCTCAGCTAACAAAAGCAGAAGGGGAAAGGGCTATGGCCACACAGTAGCCTCCAGGGCTGCAGCATGCCAGTGGAGGAGGGATGGGTGTTGGTTTCACAGAACTGGTGGGCAGCAAGAACAGTGCTGCCTGCAAAGCCTCTGCACCCATAGCACTGGAGAGGAGTGCAGACTTGCCTCTGCTGACGTATGTGCTAGGTCAGTCTTTCTGATTCCTGTTACCCTATTTAGACATTTTTTAAAAGGCAAAGTAACAACTGAAGAGCACTGGTTTTGGCTTCTGTGTACCTCGTGCATTCAGTCCCATGGAGACCCTGTTTTCCTCTCACAATCATATATATATGTGTGTGTGTGTGATTTTTATATATATGACTTTATTTTTTTTATATATATATATATATATATAAAAAAAATTCTTATTCATTGCAGTCCCCTACAGGACTTCAGGAAGCTACTGTTAATCCAGGGAGTTGGCATGAACCATCTTTAACAGCTTTTTCAGACAATGTTGGATTTTTTTTTTTGTTTATAGTTTGCAAATACAATTGTTCAAAGCACAATGAACTACACTTTATTTAATACTCATACTTCAGTTCCATTTATGTATTACTAATACAGCATAATCAAAGCAAAGGAGACGAGAAGGATGTAGAAGAATAATACGTGCAGACCTGAAAGGAACTAAAGGAAACCTGATTTGTGTTTGGTTTTGGTGGGGCTTGGTTTGATTTGGTTTGTTGTTTGTTTTTTGTTTGGGATTTGGGTTTTGGTTGGTTTGTGGGGGTTTTTTTGAAACGATTTACAATGATGTGAAGTAGCTTAGTATTTAAGAACAATCAAGAAAAATGTCTGTATGTCACCTTTTGCGTAGCACAACTTTTGTCCTCCTCTCCACACACACACACCCCCTTCCTTCTTAGTGCTTTTGTGTTCCACAATTTCAGCATTTATGTCATACCACTTAACAGCAGCAGACTTACCGGTAGAATGATGGTGTCTGCTGAGTAGTTCAAAATGAATACAAAGATCAGATTTTTGGTAATAGATACTTAAATTTGTCAGTTGCAAATGAGTTCAGTATCATAACTTAAGGTACTGCTCTCTGTAATTAAGTTGCATAGTTTTCTGGGTTTGTTTTTTTATATTTTCTGGAGAAATTTTCATGTGTGACTATAGGTTGAATTTACTTTGTGCTGATCAGTATTAATAAAAGAATAGCACAGTACCAAAAAGTGTTAAAACATACATAATGATAATAAGAATTCTGTATAGTCATACTTGAATGTAGTTTCATGATACCAGTACACTTAATTTTAGTGAGGTGATAATATTTATACACTCAAATAATTCAGAAAGTCTCTTTAGTTTTAATAACTAGTAATATTGTTTGGTTACAGAATAGCGTATGGAAAGATGTTTGAGCCTGCAACAGAAATCTCAATCATGTTTTCAGCTTTACAAGTCTTCATGGATAATTTCTAGTATTCTATGCAAGAAAGTTATTAAAAAGCCCATGCAATTTTAATGATTTTGAACTGTACTGCTGTTTTTTCAGCACTTGGAACAGCTGCGTGCAAACCGAAATAATCTAAATCCAGCACAGAAACTTATGCTGGAACAGCTGGAGAGTCAGTTTGTCTTGATGCAGCAACACCAGCAGGTGAGAACAAAAATATTTTTCTCTTCTACAAAACTTTTGTCAGTAATGGTGTCTGTTGTGTTTCTTGAATTCTGAAGAATTTCTATTGTACAGAGTTCTCATGCCCTTTACTACGTTACATTGTCATCTTTTTTTGTATAAGGATCATTGTGGTTTACTGGTTGAAACGTAACGGGTTTAGCTGTGTTTTATTATAGGGCTACCAGATAATGTAAAAGTTTTCAAGCCACGCTTTCAAACTAAAGTGAGTGGACATGTCTAAACACAGTCTTACTTGAAAAACAGTTAGTTGCAGTAAGCCGTATTACAGTGTATCTCTCCTCCTCTCATTGTTCACTTCTCTTGCTCTTAGTGTCCAACTTTAGCAATAAAACGCTAACACTCAAACTGAAGAGCCTAGAAGAAAAGCGTGCCAATAGCTTTACCTTAAAATTCGCTCAGTATACTTGTGAGCCTGACAGTTGCATGACAGTCACCTTATTTCTCAAAAGCAACTGTGAAGATCTTAAAATCAGCATAAAATTTGAATTGACCAGTGCAATAAAGTACACAAACCTTGTACAATCTTTACTTTTTAAATTCTGCAGCTGATGTTCTTGTGCTTTATTCATCTTCTGTTAGATGAGACAAACAGGAGTTGCACAGGTACGATCTACTGGAATTCCTAATGGGCCAACAGCTGATTCATCACTGCCTACAAACTCTGTCTCTGGTCAGCAGCCGCAGGTTGCTCTAACCAGAGTGCCTAATGTCGCTCAGCGTGGAATCCGTCCCGCCTGCCCCGGGCAGCCTATGGCTAATGGACCCTTTCCAGCAGGCCCCATTCCCTGCAGCACAGCAAGAACGCTGGGTAGTACAGACACTATTTTGATAGGCAATAATCACATAACAGAAAGTGGAAGTAATGGAAACGTGCCTTACCTGCAGCGAAACGCACTCTCTCTACCTCATAACCGCACAAACCTGACCAGCAGCGCAGAGGAGCCGTGGAAAAACCAACTATCTAACTCCACTCAGGTATACAATTTCAGTTTACTCATAAGAATACACTAAGGAGGCTTAATAAGCAAGTCACCGTTTGAAGTCTCTCATTTGTAAACGCACGTTTTCTGTTTCCTGAAGTTGATGACCTAGATGCAAATAAAACATAAGCTAGGTTAAACCTGCCCATTACATTTTAATGTTTAAAAATCTATGTATGAAATTAATTACTTTCAGGATAAAGGAAATTATTAATCAAAGAGGGCAGTTACATACTGCTTAGCTGCCCACCTTCGCAGAAAAGTTTCTGTAAAAAAGAATACTTGTACGTCTTTTTGTTGCTTCTTTAATGTGAAATGTTGTGACTTTGTTTTTCATGTAGTAGGAATGTGCATATTTCAGGGGAAGCTGAATTTCATAGTTGTTTTGGACATTACATTGTCATAATGATGTAATCATTACCCATATTTTGTTTCCGTATGATCTTTCAAAATTAGTATCTAACAATCAATCCCACGGAGTTACTTGCAGAAAAATACTATAATACCAGTAAAAATCCATAGGGATTAAAGTGTGTAAGTAAGGCTGTTTTGTGTGTGTGTGTGTTAAGCTCTGTCTTCAAGTTCTATTTTTTTTAATTTCAGCCTAAATGTCTTTCTTCCAAGACATACCTCATGGATGTAATGATGTGTTCTATAGAAAGATATCCTAATGGTTTAATTCACTTTTACCACATGGGTTATACAGCTTGATTAAAATGTTTTCTTCCTCAAAACTGCATAAATTTCTTGTTTAATTAATATTGCATGTTGCTTTAATGCTGAAGAATTAAGAGTGGGCTGTGGTACAGACATACATACATGCTTAACTGCACATAAACTGCAACAAAGGCTGAGACAATACCAAAACATCTTGTGTAAAACATGGTTATTCAAAACTGAAACAGTGTTACAACCTGATTTTTTTATAAGTTTCCTCTATATCAGTAGTACTGTTTACATGGTTTATAAGCATGGCAGGGGGACGTGGAGCCTGTTAGCTTCACTACCTCTTGCTTGAATTAGAATTCACTTTTCTGTTTCCTCTGTATTGTATAAAAGAAGTTTTGTGCTTGCTAGAAAGGTATCTGCTTAATATTAGATGTCTGTGGTGCTAGTGTCCATAACGTAGGCACATAATAAATTGCAATTGGAGTTGACCGCTTTCCATAGAGATGGTGTTTTTGAA